AAGGAAAAAAAGAAGGGAGGGATGGAGGGGGAAGGAAGGAAGGAAGGAAATAAGGAAGGAAATAACAAAAGCTGACACATAAATCCAGGCCAGCCTTGGTGGTTACTGTGTGATGTCTCAGAAAACAAAAACAGGCTTCAAGTGGTGGCTCATGCCTTTAAACACAGCATTCAGGAGATTTCTGAGTCCAGTCATGAATCTCTCTTTGGTAGGGGTGGTAGAGCTTAGGTGGGGCTGGTGGAGACACACTCCTAAGAATCTATAGATTTACAGACATGGGTGATCCTTTGTGTGTCGTGAAGACAGCCAAAGAGGGTCGACTCTTGGTGCATGGAGTTTCTCAGTCATGGCTGGTCCCATACTCTTCCATCTTTCCCCCCTTTCCCTGTATTTTCCATCAAATTCTTTTCGGGTCAGCTTCCATTCTAATTCCATCTCTTCCAGTCTCATTTCCCATCTTCCCATCTGGAAATGTGTCATAAGTCCTATGCAGTAAACGGCCAGGTAGGAAAGAAAGAAGAACATTCACTAAACTGAGCTGTAATACCTCCAGTATTTCTGCTGAAACAAAGAGAATCTGGACTAACTGCAAACCTACAGGCTTAGGGTGCTGAGATGAAGAAGTACTCAGGGAATTTCCTCTGGGACTTGTCTCCACCAAGACTGCTTTATCCCAACTTCTGACCCAGGAGTAAGATGTTACCCTTCTCCCTCTTGTTGGTCCACAGAGACCAGGAGCTAGGCAGGACAATTATTGTCTGCCTGTCTTTAATGAGATGCTCAGGGAGTCTAGCCCAGTGGGAAGGATGCTGCAGGAAATACCCACCTGAGTCCCCCAGACCTCCTTGCTGCACAGAAGGCTAGGATGGTGATCACCCACTTTTCATTTGCTCAGAACCCTCCCTGGATTCTGACACTTTCCCACCTTTAGAATAAAGAACACCATTGCCCTGCAAGTCCAAGCAGTGAACATGGGCCAGTTACAGCACTGAATTGTCAGGTACTGTAATAACAGAGCTGATGCCAATTTCTTTACTAGAAAATGAGGCTCACTCCTCTGTGTTGAAGGACCAATAGCAACATTTGTGAGTCTATGAGGCTAAATTAGAGTTGAACACAACAGTAACTAGGTATTTCTCATTATGTGTTTTGGAAGTTCATTACACTTATTGTGATGTGATGTGATGTGATGTGGTGGTGGTGGTGGTGGTGGTGGTGGTGGTGGTGGTGGTGGTGGTGGTGTGTGTGTGTGTGTGTGTGTGTGTATACAGTATATGTGGAGTTCAGAGGATACCTTTTTTTTGGTTTTTCCAGACAGGGTTTCTCTGTGTAGCTTTACACCTTTCCTGGAACTCACTCTGTAGCCCAGGCTGGCCTCGAACTCACAGATCTGCCTGGCTCTGCCTCCTGAGTGCTGGGATTAAAGGCATGTGCCACCACCGCCTGTCTTCAGAGGATGCCTTTAAGGGGAGTTCTTCTGCTCCTTCTACCATGAGGATCCGTGGTGCTTGGACACAGGCTAGGGATAAGTGTCTTCATTTCTCTCTGGCCCTTGCTATTTTCTTTTTCCTATGAGCTGCTAAGGACTGGGGAAGTTAACAGGGATGTACATGATTTCAGGGAAGGGCCATCTGTGCATGCATTAAGAGAAAACATGCATTATTGTGGGTAAGTGTGGGTGGTGCATATGCCCCATGCACATGTGGAGGTCATGGGATAACTGCGGAGCTGGTACTCTCCTTCCACCTTTAAAAGGGTTTTGGGGTCGAACTCAGGTTGTCATGTTTGTTCAGTAAAAACTTTAACACACTGAAACGTCATGCAGCCCATGCATGTATGTTTTTATGTTATATTTAATCTGCACAAGGGTGAATCTGGTGGACCAGATTAATCTAGGACAGGGTGTTGGAAGCTGACAGTGTGATTCAGT